CTGGCCCCATCCTGCAGGGGGGGAAGGAGGGGGGGTTGTGGCCCAGGCCCCCCCCAGGTTCAGCCACAAAAATGCAGCTCCCAGGAGCTCGGTCCCAGACGCTGACGTCAGCCCCCCTGGCCCCCCCAGCTGCCGCCTGGATGCCTGGGTCCCACCCCGGCTTCGGGAGGGTGCGGGGCCTGGCCAGCAAGAGCCAGAGCTGGGACGCCTGGGTTTTCTGCCAGTGCTGGCAGGGGTGGGGCATTTCTGGGTTGGAGCACAGGAAGGTGGGGCTGGGAGCCCAGACGCCTGCCTGGGTTCTCTCCCAGCTCTGGGAGGGACATGGCTGGTCTGGCAGGGCCTGGACGCCTGGGTTTCCTCCAGTTCCAGGAGGGACGTGGTGTTTAACAGGCCCAGACACATGGGTTCCCCCCAGCTCCAGAAGGGACGTGGGGTGTAGCAGGCCTGGATGGCTGGGTCCCTCCCAGCTCTGGGAGGGACGGGGCAGGGGGTCTAGCAGGGCCTGAACACCTGAGGTCCCCCCAGCTCCGGGATGGACATGGGGTCGCCCGGGTACCCCCAGCTGCGGGAGGCCACGGGGTACCTGCAGGCGGCCGTCCAGGGTGCGCTGGATGGTGACACACTTGCTGGGGTGGGCCCCGCCGGTGGTGACGGCTGTGATGAGTGAGTCCAGCTCGTCCTTCTTCTCCTTCAGCTTCTTGACCAAGCTCTCGATGGCACGCTTGGCGAAGGTCTCGTTCTCACCGCCCTGCCGGTGGCACAGCAGGCTGTGCACGATGCTCAGGCAGGCATCGCTGCTGCTGGGCGCCGCCAGCGACATGGCCGGACCCTGTGGGTGAGCCGCAGTGTCACCCCTGTCCTGAGCCAGGGGTTAGCTGGTGCCCCTCACTCCTGACCCGCAGCCCCAGGCCCCTCCCAGAACCACCTGGACTCCTGGGTTCCCTCCTGGCTGGGACCCAGAGAGAAGCTGTGGGGAGGGAGTGCTCCCGGCTCTGGGAGGCAGCATGAGGCCCCAGCCCCACTGGCGGGACGCCACTGGGTCACTGTGGGGTCATGAGTGGGTCACAGGGAAGCATGGGGGCCGGGGGTGACAGGGAAGGAGGGTTCTGGGGCCCTGCACCCCAGCGTGGTGCAGTGACACGTGACACAGCTGCCTGCCATGTCAGGAGAGAACGGCACACATGTGCACGCTTCATGTTCCTGTATGCATGTGTGCTTTGTGCATGTGCATGCCATGGGCCTGTGCACGCTAGTGTTGTGCCCGTGTGCTGTATGTATGTGTGCATGCCTTGTGCAGGCTTCATGTGTCCATGTGCAGCGTGCATGTGCAGGCTGTGTCTACGTGCAGTGTGCATATGTGCACATGTGCTTTGTGCATTCCCGTGTTCTGTGTGTACGTGTGCCTTGTGCACATGCACCATGTGTGTCCCCGTGCTTTGGCTGTGTACATGTGCCATGTCCATGTTCCACATATGCCTGGACATGAGCTACGTGGAAGCATGGCCTGCATGCATGTACTCGCTTCATGCATGTGCCGTATCTGTGCACATGTGTGCTCAGTGTGCAGTGGCCCCGGCTCTGGTGGGGGCAGGGCGGTGAGTCAGGGCAGGCGCCACGGCCCTGCTCCAGCCCTGGGAAACATCCTTGGGCTCGCGGCAGACATAACAAACCGTCAGCCTCGCGCGGCGCCGGCGCCCTGCCAGCCCCCGCCCGGCCCCTCCACGTCTGCAGCCACTTTCCAGTGTGCAGGGCCCTGCCAGCCCCAATCCCGCTCATGCCGGGACCTGGCTCACAACCCACGTCCTGCCCTGTCTGCCACCACGTGCCTGGGCAGGGAGGCACCGTGTCCCCTTGTGTCTCCCACCCCCAGCTCGCCCTGTGGCGGGTGAAAACCGGTGGTGTCTTCATGGCTGGACCCCACTGCGGTCACTGCCGGAGGAGATGAGCTCCACGGGCATCCCTGCCACCCACAAGCCTGGCACCAGCTCCACCAGGGGGGCACCAGCCCGGACCCATGTCTCGTCCCTGCCAGAGGGACTGGGCTCCAGGGGGTGAGGGCGTCTGGCTGGGGCAGGGCAGCACCGGCAGCCCCCCAGCCCAGGGGGTGCCTGGGAGAGACTCCTGGAGCCCCCGGCCAGGCTGCAGGGTCCGTGCTGGGGGGTGCGGCTCAGGGCTGAGGCCGGGTGCGGGGTGCAGCCAGGTCCAGGGGTGCGGGATGCTGGGAGAGCAAGACCCGGGGGTGTGGGGTGTCGCTCTGGGATGCCATGGGGTGCAGGACCCGGGGGTGCGGGGTGCAGCAGAATGCCGGGGTGCAGGACCTAGGGGTGCCGTGGGACCCGGGAGTGAGGGGTGCAGGCCCGGGGGTGCCGCCTCGGGGGAGTGGGGTGCAGAAGGGTGCAGGACCCAGGGGTGCCGCAGGACCCGGGGGTGCGGAGTGCAGGCCCGGGAGTGTGGGGTGCAGCGGGGTGCGGGACCCAGGGGTGCCACGGGAGCCTGGGCTGCAGGCCCGGGGTGCGGGGTGCCCCCGGGGTGCCGCGCCGCCCGCACTCACCTCCGCCGCCC